GTGTGCTGGCTCAGGCTGTGTAACACTGGAAACATGAGTTGCATCATGCAACATCCTTGCCGGTGTTGTTGCTGAGACGACACTGAGAAGTGTCTCACTAATGCCACTCAGGCTGAGGACACTGAGAGAACTCTGCATGTTAATAGCAGAGACAACAAACAGATCCAGTCTCTGTTGTTCACTGCTACAACACAGCCTGCTGATGCTTTGTCTCCCTTCATTGGCACCACATTAGGGAGCATGAATCACTGATATGAATCACTGAGCTCTAATCAGGCCAGTCAGTGTGACAGTTAATCCCAGCTGAGTCAGCGTAGCCTGAGGTAAAAGGATGGACGTTTGATTTCCAACTGATTTATTTGTGGCAGTGATTCGCAGAACCCCCGGGTTGCTCACTCTGCTGGTCTTATGAGCAGTCCTGACAAGCAACAAAATCTTTGAACTGCTGGTTAAGATTTAAAATGACTTTCTTAAGTTTAAAGTTGCATGCAGGGCTGCTACCTCAGTGTTTGATTTGATTACCAGTTGGAGGAAACTAGAGCTGACTGTAAGTGCCATTATACAGCGAATGCACTGCGAGAAATCAACAAGAAGTTCTGAATTTTTCGTACCCCCCCCAACTTGACATAAAGCCCTGATGAGCTGCCCCCAATGTGTCTAAACAAGGAAAGGAAGAAACTGAATTCTGGATCGGTCCAGTTCTCAAGACAAGGCAGCAGCAGGGAAAATTTCATGGTTTGAACCTGGAGCTGAAGTTGCATCATGAACACTTTCGTACATATTTCTGGAAATGTGTGGCAGCTCTTACTGGGACCACATCTGAGGAGGCAGAAAAATCATTTCAGAGAGCCGATGGTCACAGAGCAGTGCAGCTGTGTGTCTGAGGTAAAATAACAATATTTGACTGTTTCCTTATAATTATTCATTACTAGTGCGCATTTTGAGCTTCGAATGCACTTGTTGCCAAATGCAGTAATCCCATTGGTCAGATCTGTTTATTCATCTAAAAAACTGACGTTGGTTTGAAAACAAAATGCTGACAACAGCTATACTGAGAACAGATGAGTCCAAAAAATATTTTTAATGCACGAAATAATTATACAATTTTTACGTGTCTGGTGGATAAAGGCCTTAATGCTTGTGTCAGTTTATACTTTAATAAAATCTGCTTTTCTAACTCGATATGGTGAGGCAGCTTTACGAATGGTTGCAGACCTATCTCACTCTACCGTCGAGCTCACTGAAACCTCATATTGTCATCTTTCAGTACAGCTCCTTGTCAGCAACAAACTAGCAACAACTTAGCAGCTTTGCAACAATGTTGCCAGATTGTTACGTCAGTATTTCGGCTCTCTGACGTGGCTACCATTGTTCAAGCCACCTGAGCGTGTCCCCCATGAACAGCTATCAGCAGTGCTTTGCGTTGAGTCTCGTGGCTTAATGCTTTGGCTTCATGTGAAGTTGGATAAAATCAATAAAACAATATCTGTTTGCTGTTTCTGTGCCGCCAGTGGGACATCAAACAGCCGCCCACATACTAATAAAAATGGTCTTTAGGCAAAAAATGTCAACCTTCTGTGGATGCAGCTGGTGACCAAATTTCATTGTAATGACTGAGGCATCATCTGGGATCGCTGCAGTCAGGTGCCTGAGCTAGGCTGTTGCTATTTGTACTCTCATATCTCACAGACAAAAGTGTTTGGACCTTTATTGTTTTTAAAAGTTAGTCATTACACTTTTAAAATCTATGTAAAATATTAAACATCTGCTCTCATTGTACTCATATTAAAACCTGCATTAGCATATCTGTTCATTCTGACTTGCAACAACCTCATATGTTCAGTGCTGCTCCTGCACCTGAGCAGATGCAGGTCTTCATGCATGCACGCATTTCCATTTTCCATTCCCATTATTAGCTTTATCTTTTTCTCCTTCCTCATCTTCATTGGCTATTGTAGTGCTGTAGCTTCTTCTACAATAGCATGTTTTAGCTCAGGGGCACTCCAGCAGTGTTCATGATTACGCTACTGCAACTGAAGCATAACATTGAATGCAAGAATGATAACCACCTATTGCTGCTACTGTTGCACAAACAGTGGCGACAGAGACACATCCACATGAGCAGCCCAGGGCCAGTGTGATCGTCATACAACCTAAAAACCTCTAGTGCATGCACATATACAGAGAAATCACAAACAAGGAGAAAAGGAGAGTAAATAGATGTATTATTCATACTGCAATTACTTTATCTTCAAAATAATGCAGAGTCATTTAGTAACCAGTGAGAAATGAAAATAATAAACAGGGATGCTCCAGCTCTGAGGAGGAAGAATGTTTTGTTCCTATTGGTTGTTATATTTTACTGTTTTTTCTTCATTAAACATACTAAAAATTTTTAATTCAGCCGCTACACTAATTATATACAGAAGCCTCTCGCATAATATTAAAGGCTTTGAGGCAAAAATTAAAATGCTGATTATGTGAGGGAAGTTTGAATACATGAAAAATCAGCTGAGGAAGGATGTTTCGTGTGTGTTTGTGTGTGTGGTGGTGGCGGGGTGTTCTTCCTGCCAGAGTTGTGTGGGTGTGTTTTTCTGTCTGGATGTGTGTGTGTGTGTGTGGTGACCCGTAAGTGTGAGGGTGAGCGGTGCATGGAGCTACAACATCCTGATGAACACAGCACCAGCTGAGAGACCACCTGGATTATACAAACCTACCTGACCCCTTGCGTGCACGCACACACACACACACACACACACACACACACACACACACACACACACACACACACAGAGAGTGTTTCTCTCAGGTGAATGGAGGAAGTAAGGAAGGATTAAAAAACAGGTCCTGGACAGGTGGTGAAGGGTGTTGGTTTGAGAGGAAAAAGGATAATAAGAAAACTTTCTGAATTTGTGCTCACATTCAGCTCTTAATGTTTCAGAATGATCTCTTATATCCTCCAGAACTTTCAGTTTTATTTTTATCAGTGTAGTTTTAAAGCATTTTTCATTACCTGTTATTAGAAGTTCTGGTAATATGAATTGTAGCTGACACCAAACTGATGGTCAGATTGTCTAAGATGACTGAGAGGCTGTTTTATGTCATTGCAAATTGTCGTTTTTTTTTGTTTTGTTTGTTTTTTGTAGAAATGAGCCAGTTGACACAGCTTCTCAATGTGACTTTTGGAAAGTGATGGCGGCATTTTTCACTAATTGAAAAACAAATTAATGAGAACTTAAACTTCCACATTAGGATTAGGGTTTCCAAACTACATGAGAACAGAAGCCTACATGACTAGACAGAGTCAGTGTGTTTATTTTTATTTTATTATTCATGGGACTGTGGATGTTGCAGACTGCGTGCTGTTAAAGGTGGACTGAGAGCAAGCCATGTATTGATTGATGGCGAATGATCCAAAAAAGACAAAACATAAGGTTCAAAAAGGGAAACTAAACTCTATAAACTACTGAAAACCAAAACTTGGAACCACAGAGACTAAAAACAACAAAAACACCTACATATATACTGCACACACCTGTACATGGGTATATGTATACATAAAGACCCATTTACAAATAGCTGAACACAATCCATATACCCTGTGCACACCGCAGCACAGTCATAGTTATTTGCGCACAATTTGATACTTTGTGTTTTAATCTCTTATCACCAAACATTATAGTAAGAAAACAGCTTTAATGACTAGTTAACAGAGATCCACTTTACCTTAAATGCTAAACTGTTTGTTTCTGTCGACTATGCAAGTTATAGAAAACAGTGTAGGATTCATCTTCTTTTTACCTAATTTACATAAAGCTTTACAGACTCAGATTGGTTGTGAGGAAATCAGGGTAGCCTGGTTTTGTATTTGATGATTAAAGTTATTTGCAGTGTTTTGTTTGTTTGTTTTTACTTTACTGATTTATTTAATTTTTAAGATGTAGTTAACTGGTAATTGTTAGAGGCTAGTTTTCTAGCCTCTACAATTTCTTGTAATGCAGGAAATTGTATCCTTGTTAGCGGAATAAGAAATGACATGCATGGTGCTGGAGCATGAGCAGACAGCACATCTGTACTGCATTGTGAAAGGCCAACTCTGCAGTGTTTTCTCCCCGCTCCTCAGAATGAATCTCTTCCTCTCACAGTTTATTGTGTTGTTTTCTCTTTTTCACACCAGTGCTCAACAAATTTCATTTAATTTATTTCCACAGCCGTGGTGTTTTCTCATCCTCTTCCTCTAATATTACATGCCATTTCCCTAGAGCACCTTTTTTATTTTTCTGCCTGCACTTGGAAAATGCATTTCACTTGTTCTTCTGTTTTACCACTCCTCATCAGTGTCTCGCACAGGCCTTTAAAATCATTTATCCTGATATATACCCGTCGGTTTTTCTTTGACACATGCATATAGTTGTTCCTGCATTATTATTTTGGTATGCATCATGATAGTTGACAGCATACTTTCCCATTTCTCACTTTGAGTCTTGAACCTTTTGATCTCTTGCCTACCATCTGTTTAAGCATGAAGGCCTAAATAATGCATTCATTAAAAAAAGGAAAAGGCTGCTGCCATTGGTCAGTGGAGGTGGTCAGAGCTGAGAGGATGTAACAAGAACAGGTCCATCAATTCTCTTATTATTGGTGGTTTTCCTGCAATTTTCAGCCTCTACTGGGAAAGCAGTAATAGCCAGATTAAATAGGTAATTCCATTGTTTTGCTTCCCTGCTTTACAATAACAATAAAGCGAACCAATCAATCAAGCCTGGAGGGGCCCAGAGATGACGCAGCATTGTCATTCAGGTTCAGGTTAACAGCTGCAATTCAAAATGAGAACACCTATCATTGTCATAAATGGCTGCTTTGCCTTGGGTAGTGATTGCATATATGAAACTGAATTTGTGGGCTCCACTTGAGGCAGATTTTCTGAGCTTTTTTTTCCATCTTTTTCCAACATGCTGCAACAATCACTTTCAACTGAAATCAATTCCTTCACTCTGGAGCTACCTCCATCTTGCCTGCAGTGTGGTGCAGTTTTCCATGACAATCCTGGGAGGGCGATAAAAGAGAACACACTGAAAAACCACGCCAGAGGTATTTTTTCAGTCACTGCTTCACGCTTTATAACCTTCACCTTAACCTATTACCTCACTGTCAGACTCTGCTGTGTGTGTGTGTGTGTGTGTGTGTGTGTGTGTGTGTGTGTGTGTGTGTGTGTGTGTGTGTGTGTGTGTGTGTGTGTGAGCACTTTTTAACAGACAGTATACCACTCTGAACGGTAATATTACCTTTAAATAAACAAGCTTTTTCTTTGCCCTTTCAATTGAAATTGAATTTAAACATGGTGGTTAGAAAGCAGACACATTACTTGGTAAATGCTAAATCACCCATGACTCATTAAATCACTTAGGCTACGTTCACACTGCAGGCGAAAGCGCATCAAATCCGATTTTTTTTTTTAATTTTTTTTTTACCCTATGCGACTCATATCCAATCATGGTCTGACAGTGTGAACGGCACAAATCCGATATTTTCAAACCCGATCTGGGTCACTTTTGTATGTGGTCCTGAATCCGATACATATCTGATGTTTTAGAAAGCGACTGCTATTTGAACGGTCGTGTCGCATTAAATCCGTCTTTTACGTCACTGACACAAGACAGACGCTAATTATCAGCGCCCAAGAAGACATCGTGAACGCTTCCTGGCCATCCAGTGTAGATGTTAATGAAGCTGTTGGGAAGACAACGTGAACATTTTATTTGTACTGTATAATCTGCAGATTCTGACAGAAATCTGCAGCTATCCTTTGAAGCACCGCTCCTCTAAAACAGCAATAAGGATCATTATTAGGTTATTTACATTATTATGTCAATAACAAAATAACTTAAAGCAAAAATTGGGAAACGTAAAGTCCAAAGTCTTTATATTAACGGCCATCTGTCAAACAATACTGTTTGGTCTAGGTCTAAACAGAGCCCGTTGTGTGTGGCGTCTTCTTTTGCGCATGCGGGCCGCTTTGAGCGTTCACACTGAACGCTTTTGCTGTCGCATTTTATTTGTAGTGTGAACAAGCAGACAAAAAATCGGATTTGATCAAAAAATCAGAATTGAGCATTAAGACCTGCAGTGTGAACATAGCCATAATGGCACCAGCAGGCACACACACACCTTGCTTGGAGCCAGAATATTGTAAAATCAATGTTAATTCTCAGCTAAAGTCAGTCCATGAGCTGCATGTGTCAGCACTCATTGTGGAGATATTCAGTCATTAAACACACATCCTTGCGAAGGTCCGTAAAAAACCTATTAAACTCATTTTCTTGTTGTGCCATGAGGCAACAACAGCAGGGAAGATAACAATGAACCTTTGCCAGTGTGTAAGTTTTCAGATAAAAGGCTTATCCAGGTCTTACACTACCAGCATCAACACCTTGTGTTTCTCATTTTGGAAAGTGTCCTCTACAAACAGGACTTTGTCGCATTAGGTTTTCATAGTTACACACTAGATGTCCTTTGGCCAAAACCAGGCATGGCAGGCTCTATTGATCTCTGAGCAATAATGGACCCAGTGTATCATCCAGGAGACTGTGGTATTGTGTTTTTCAAACAGCTTCAATATTTTTCCCCTTTCTTCTATTTCGGCTTTCACTTGCTTTAGAATTAAGCACCTGGTTAGGAAAAGATCAGAGTTTATTTGCCCCTTTATGGATCTCACCCAATTCCCTAATCAACCCAGTATCACAGCAAAACATGTATTAAACACATTTGATGCTTTGCCTCTGCAAAACGTGGAAGCGACGCACAAAAGGACATGTAATGCATAACTGAGACACAATGCATTGTGACTGCAAGAGCAATTAAAAAATTCAGAGACTCTGTAAAAGTGGCTGATTTCCTCTTGAAGATGATCTTCTCCCAACTCGTCGTGAACACAACAGCTGGCTCCACGGCTACAGCCCTACATTTGGGATGAAGCTCTAAAAGTGGACTGTCAGGTCAGGAGTATAACTAGGAGCATGCACAACATTCCTGTAGAGGTTAAACTGGCAGTATGGAGTTCCACTGTGATGTGTCTGAGGGAGAAAATTTTGAGAAACCAACATTAATTTGTGCCAATTTGCCAAAAGAGAAAGTGAGAGAGATTTTCCTTCCAGGGACTTTGTCAAGCCAGTGTGCTTCACAGGTGGGAGAGTACATAAGAACAGACACGCATTTCAATGATGCATTCTCAAAATGGTGTTCTGTAAACTGACCAGAGGTGCACAAGAAAATTATCTTGAGGGGGCGATCTGCTAAAGTTCAACAGTTTCTTTTAAATAATCACACCTCATAAGATAAGATAACCTTTATTAGTCCCAAATTTGGGACTAATAAAGGGAAATTTGTTGGGTTAAGGCTGCCGACCTTTGCCTGCGCCATCTTACCCTTCCGACCATACACACATTACAGCATCACATGGGGAAGACAGGTCAGAGAGGTATAACAATGGAAAATGCACAAATTGAGGAAAGACGAGGAGAAAAAAGAACTCCCCCCAGACTGAGCTCCAACAGGGAGATCAGTTTGAGAACAGACAAAAAAACACCTCAGCACATGAATCAGCACATCTCACTACATAGAAGACATAAGCTTCGAAGGCGTTTGGAGGGTGTGTGTGTGTGTGTGTGTGTGTGTGTGTGTGTGTGTGTGTGTGTGTGTTCCGTGTTCAGCCGAGAGAAAGTGTCCCTTCGCCCAGTTAGGCAAAAGTCAACAATCTTCGGTCGACGTGACCTTGACTGATGAGGGAGAGAGTCACAACACAGTCTTATAATCTAAAGAATAAAGAATTGTTGTTCTGTCATCTTTGATTTGATGAAGTAATTTCAGGGTTGATTAATTGGTTCCCTCTAGAAAGAGACAAAGAATGTCAAGTAAGAAGAACATGGAATCAGGATCAAAGAGAAGGAAGAGACAAATGAGAAAATAATGAGTTAAGAAGTGTCTTATTGTGAACGCACCTCAAGTTTCTGCTTGTGTAAGCACATTAGAGTCAAGATGTTCCTCAGTGAGGTGTTAAATGTACCTAGCTGAGTGGTGAAGTGCCTGCTATCAGCATGATAAATGTGCTTCTGACATGATAGAGCTATCTGTTCCTTCTCCCAGGACATTTACCTGCAATGTTCCAGTGACTCACTCACACACAACCTGGGGATATTTCTGTGCACATTTGATATTGAAATTAAATCTACGTGCCCTGAGTGGTCCATCAGAGAGTATTAAGCATGTAAATTAAAACAAAATGACTTTCAGACTCATCTAATGTTATAACCAAGTTGGAAAATGATCATGAAATAGCTATTACTGACCTCTGTAGATGTGGACTCATTACTCTATAGACATTGAAGTGAAATATGTGTGTGACTTCGCCCTGCACCGTCTGCTTTAAGTTGCCTTTTTATAAATGTATGAACAAATATGACGATGTTGAACTATCAGTGTGAATCTGCCCCCTTTCATCCCCTTAAATGCTACTCAAATCTGCCGTGTGACTGAAGACAAATCGGGAATATTTCCGTTTCTGTGCTCACTTGCATTTTATTCATCTCTAAGTACCCCTTGTCTCCAGAGTTTTTTGGGACACCAAACATCAGAGAGAATCCATGACAGCACTGTTGGAGCTAATTGGATTTATCCAAATGTAATTCAGTCATCGTGCCAAAATGTGTCTATAGGCTTTCAGCCGATGATGGGATGAAGCAGATGGTCATATTTCACTTGCCTCTAAACTTCTTTGTTTTTTTCTTTGTGTTTTAAAATTAGATTTTACCTCTAATCTTTTGATTACAAATACGGGGAGCAGAAAAGGTCCTTTTGTATTTTTTAGATTCTGTTAAACCTTTTCTGTATATCAGATATACAACTAAGAAGTTGGGAAGAAGTCAGTCTGGTAAAGCAGCCTGTTTCTGACGTCAGAGCAGCGTCTGACGGACCTGTAACTGTGACAAAATTAATGAAGGCCTGTCAATATTATCTCATTCATTAGACCTTTTAGTGGCCCTGATAAGCTCATTTCCAGCTCCATTTTCTTTAGTCTTACACTCCAATAGCTTTGCATACGTCACAGTTCAAAAATATCCCTTATTCACCTCATTCTGAACCTTGTACTATAGCGCTTCTCCCTTTAAAACATACTTTTTCTAATTAGCGACCACTCGCAAAGGGATAAGCTGGTGGTGGGTGTGGCTTCATTCTCAGAGCCTCAAATTTGCTTTCTTTCTAATAGACAGCAGGGGGCAGTTTTTTAAGTAGGTAACCAATGGATGACATCACAGTGGGTCCATGTTTTACATACAACATTTCAGTGAAATCCTGACCAACAGTTGAGATGACAAAGAGTAGAAGAAAATATCAGAACCAGAGAATTTAGAGCCTTTGGAAGTCAAAACTCTTATGTCAGAAATTACTTTCACATCTGCTGATCTCATTGTTTGGCCATGTGTAATATGACCATCCACCTATGTAAGGGGCTAAACTTGACAGGAATAAAGAAAAAGCATGACCGCTCTGCAGTGTAAAGGTGAAAGAAAACACAGTGAGGAGGTCGGGAGGTTCCTCTGCTGTTAGAATCAGCATAACTAACCTTCACAGAGTCAGTCGTCATTCTTCAGTTTGAATCTTTTTCAGAGATTTCACTCTGTATGCAGGGAATAAAAATTTCTGGTGCCATAAGACGGTAATGTGAGGTACACTCAACAAAAATATAAACGCAACACCTTTGTTACTGCTCCCTTTCCCCATGGGATGGACGTAGAGACCTAAAATTCATTCCAGATACACAATATAACCATCCCTCCCAAACAGTGGTCACAAATCAGTCCAAATGTGTGGTAGTGGGCACATCTGCTATATTGAGATAATCCATCCCACCTCACAGGTGTCCCACATCAGGATGCTGATCTGACATCATGAGTAGTGCACAGGTGTACCTCAGACTGCCCACAACAAAAGGCCACCCTGGAATGTGCAGTTTTTTGCGCTATTGGGGGTCTGGGGACCCAGAACCGGTCAGTATCTGGTGTGACCACCATTTGCCTCATGCAGTGCAACACATC